TTTTTTTTTTTTTTTTCGTAGAGAATAGGGAAAAGAAGTTGAAAAAAGAAGTTGATAAAAATGATTTTAAAGGTATTGTAAAAGAAAATAAATATTGTCCGATAAGCGGTGATGTCGTTTCAGCGCAGATATGTGAATAAAAAAAATAAATTTTTTCATTCTTTGAATGACCGATTGCATTCAAAACAATATTTAAGGCTCAAAAAATATTTTATTTAAGCTGTTCAGCAATGGTTTTATAAATTTACATCTACTTTTTTCCCTTTCTTATATCGGTTAAACATTTATTTTGGCAATTGAAATTTTACCCGCAGCAACAAATACAAAAGAGAAATTAGCGGTAATCAAATTTATACTGTTTTTCAACGAACTGCCAACGTTTAGTTGTAAATAATCCCAAAATCACAATTATTGTATCAGATATTTTTGTAATAAATTTATAAAAAATTATTTTTTTTTTACAATCTTAAATACGCTTTTATTTTTTTTTTTAATCTAAATTGCACATTTCAAATAAACAAAATTAAATTGAACAAAACGCATCTGTTCAGCCAGTAATCTGATAATGGAAGAGTAACCCGATAATAAAAGATAGAAAAAAAAAATTTAAAACCTTTAACTGTTTTTGAAAATTAGTGCCATTAACCAATTTATTAATTTTTTTATTTTAGCTATTTTACATCTTTAGCCTTAACAATATTTAATGCAAATTTTAGCATTTATCTGTGATAGTTGTACTTTGAAACAATAAACAATAGCGTTTTTTTTTAGAAAATCAACAACTAAAATTACCTTATATACAGCAGAAAATTTGATTAATATCATAAATAAAATTAAAAAATGTTACCAATTTCTAAAATTTTTTTTAGGTATAAATTGCAGCTTTAATACAGAAATTTTTTTGGTTTCTCGAGCATTCACTATGGTGATCAGTTCCTTTGAGAGACTCTCAAAAAAGTAAAACCTTTAGATATACAGTATGCAGAGCATATATTTGCATTCACAGCTATAATCAGCAACCACAATACTTATATTTTGAAAGAATTAACCAAAATTTAAGATATAGCGTCAAGTAAACAAATATTTTTTTTAAAAGTAGATGTCAAAACTTTTTTTAATTTTTTCGTTAATTACGCTTACAAATTCAACTTGGCTTTCTGACTATATTTTGAGTGATACTTTTATTATCTTAAAAATCTTCAACCTTCTTTTTTTTATTCTCTGAATAAAATTGGTTAAAAACAATAGTTTGAATAAAATATAAATTTCTTTTTAGCAATTATAAATAATAAGCCTACAAAGACTGTGAAACTGGAATAACCCTCTTTTTCTACAATAATTTCATGCATTTTACAGCGTTAATTTGCTTAAATTTTATAACTTGATGAAGGCTGAATCACTGTCTTTTTGTTTCACAGACCAGCTCAGCATTTGTTTTCCCAGATTCCTGTGCTTTATTGCTGATGCAGTATTCTAAAGTTTTCTGTAACTTTCTTTTTTTTTTTTCTGGATTTCGTTATTATCGCAGTGCTCGCTGTCGTTTCAACTGCTCTTCAAAAAACTACACTTTCTTTTATATTTATAATCTTTTACTCTCAAACTGTACATACAGAAGCCGAATTTATAGAACTATTTACTAAAGTGTTTGGTTTCTGACTTTTTTGTCCAGCTTCTCACCTTTGTAAGACAACCGTGCCGAGAGTGTTAAGGTGTTACAATTATAATGATAAGCTGGAACCATATTTCACAGAATCCTCTTAGTTGCACCGTTTATATTTTGCTTTAAACCATTAAATCATTGCAGGCCACAGCTTTAAATTAATTAATTTTTTTTGAAATATACTTTTACATCTCTGTTAGGCTTTAGATTCAGTATCTGTTTTTTTTTTTTACTGATAGAAAACTTCTACTTTGCTTAGCATCATTTGTTATTTCTGAAATTTTTTTCAATACTACTGTGGGAGATTAAGCTATAGGAGTTGAAAACTAGTAAGAACACAATAATAATTTGGAATATATATCGATTGTAGGAGCCAATTCAGATAATAGCCACTTCAGTCATCGAGACCGAATAAATATTTTTAATAGCAGCCTAAGTTACAACCGGGAAATATTTTTTAACAAATAAGTACTTCTGCTAAAAAGACATGAAAATGTATGTGTAGACCATTCCAAGACCGCTTGCACAATTCGTTCACTTGACACCATAAAACTTTTTCAAACTTGGTTTATTAGTAGAATCTAGACTAGCATATAGAATGTCAAGAAGAGAATTGAGAAAAGTGAATTTCCCTCTTAGCTATAACCCTCCAAAGTTGCAAAATTTTCAAGTTGCTGATTGATATGCTTGTTTTGGAGGTTTTTAATCCAGCTGAACCTTGGTTGAAGCTGAAGGTTTTTTCCTCATCAAACGAATACTGAATAGTTAAATTATTCCAAGTAGTTGTATGAATACAATAAAAAGGGATTTTCAGTTAGATATTTCATGAATGTGCCATTAGATTAAAAAAAACATTCTGTACAGGATCTTTCACAATAAATATACAAATAGGCAATGCATATTGTTCGGACTCGGGAGTTATTAGTTCGAGGATTTGATTCAAATGTTTGGTCAGCGAAGAAAGAGAGTTGTAAGTTTTTTGAGTAATGTCTGTAAAGAAATGTCTGTGAAGAAGACTGATGAGCTCTTGTGAATATGACTTGTACTCTAATTCTCAAAATCTCAATTGCACAAGCACATATAAGCTCAACTCATCTCTCTTTCTTTAATATCGTGTGTGGTGCCAGTCTTTAAATTGGCTAGGCTATAAAAATTCCAGCAAAAATTTGAACCCAGCAGTTAACTGGTCACAACAGTAAACTTTTGGTTTCTCTCGTAACGCCAAAATACGCGCTAAATTCATAAATGACAGAAAGAAGACGAGAAGCAAAAAAAAGTGAAATGAAGGTTATTTCTAACAACACTGCAAATTAACAAGTAGTTTTTTTTTTAAATTTAAAACACAACTTTTGTAACAAATCTTGAAGGATTAAAACATGTTGAGGGTTTTTAACCACAATTCATGGCTTTCAGAAGCGGCTGAAAACACTGTAAAATGTGTGAAATTGTTATAGAAACAGTGGGTTTTTCCAGTTCCAGAGTCTCTTTAAGGCAGCAGTTCCTGAATCTGGAAATTGACTGTCAGTAAACCGCGGGTATATCA